TCCCTAAACCCTAAAATCCCTAAACCCTAAAATCCCTAAACCCTAAAATCCCTAAACCCTAAATTCCCTAAACCCTAAAATCCCTAAACCCTAAAATCCCTAAACCCTAAAATCCCTAAACCCTAAAATCCCTAAACCCTAAAATCCCTAAACCCTAAAATCCCTAAACCCTAAAATCCCTAAACCCTAAAATCCCTAAACCCTAAAATCCCTTAATTCGTTAGGGTTTTTTGGGGTTTTCGTCTTTTGCATTAGGGTTTTCAGGGTGTTTCCTGTTTTGGGATTAGGGTTTTGCTGATTTTTGCATTTAGGAATTAGGGTTTGGTGTTTCATGGTTTAGGGCTAAACCGGATTCTCCGGAGGGGGGGCTGCGCCCCCCCGCCGGAGACGCCTCCCCCCTGCAAAAGAGAGTATATTTTTTCTAGCAACACACGGCTTCCCGGCCCAGCACAAGCCTTGAGGGCAAATGCATCGCACATGAAATCAGAGTTCCATATAAGTGTGTTTCTCGAAATATCCTGGCACTTCTACTATAAGGTCCTCAACTCCGAAATCTAAACCGCATGGATTATCATAGGCCCAATATTTGAGGGCAAAAGTCCCTAACTTATCGTAGGGATTTCGCCGAGGGGTATTGTGCAGAGTTTTTGGATTTAGGGTTAATGATCCTGAAGGCTGAGCCATACATCCACTCTCGACAGATTAGCATGTGTGTTTAGGAACATTGGAAGTCGTAACACGGGTTATGCCAATTCGTGCACTCAATGCTGTACTCATTACTTTCCAAATCCCCTCATCCTCCACGGAAATCGTTCAAGAATGTACCTGGAATCTGGCACCCCGGCGCATGATCCGAGCTCTAAACTCTAAGCCCTGCAGGGTGAAGATGCGAATGCAGAGCAGAAGGACTTAGCATCTAGGCTGTTTAATACATTAGCAGCGGTTTGGGGTCAGGTTTCAGCCTTATGTCTTAGGGGCTAAAGTTCTTTTTTCAGGTTCTCGGCTGGTGTTAGGATGGCGGTCTACTGGGCCTTGTACAGAGACTGACGTGCACTTTTTTGCGCTGCGGTGAGCTGGATTCCTCAACACCCTAAAAGGACAAACGCGTACTTTCTGGTTAGGCACCCGGGTGTGAGTTGGTAGTACTTGTAGGCTAGTGTATGGGGGAGCAGGTAAATTGACTCATGGGCAAACTTCAAGAAACAAAGTCAAAACGATGTAGACTCAGGAGTCATGTGGACCTGAATTCTGGTAGGATAACTTTGTTTGGCTAGGGTCCTACCATAAGATAGCCAAGACACGGAGCTGCATTTTCGGCTTTAGTTAGGGCTGCTGGAAGCCCGGAATACTCCATGTATTTATTGGTATACACATTGACCCACAACTACCTCGATAGGAGCCTCCTTAAGAGCAATGTGTACGGGTACTTCAAGAAACGTTGAGTGGGTACGTTGTAGCGGATACTATCTATACATGCCGGGCATCCGGAGCGTTTAGAAAAGGGCAGTCAGGAGATGTTGAGACGAGCCATCTTCAGCACTGAAGCCTTAGTAGGCGGCCAGGGTTTTCAGGACTTGCAGCTATATATGCAGCGCAGCCACTATCCGCACAACAGTCCCACAAAGAAAGTCGGCCGATAAGGCGAAGCCTTGTCCACCAAAGGATACTTCGAACAGGGTCTCGCGGGGTTTGGTAATGATTCAGGCCCGTCATATACAAACCCGAAATCAGACAATCCTAGATCCTTAAACCCTGAACCCCATGAGCCCATGAGCCTAGCAGACTTGGGTTGAAGGTTGAAAGTTTCGGCAGAGGGGTGGAGCTTGGAATGAGACTAAAGGCATAGGATTCCTAGTGCTTTGCAAGACTCGGGAATCGTGCATTTAATAAACCCTAAACCCTAAACCCCAAAAGGTTTAGGGTTTAGGGTTTATTGTATACGTTTTATACGATCATAACCTGTAAAAATCGATTAACAGACCTTAAATACAAGCCAAATTTCTTGTAGAATGAGCTCATAAACCCTAAACCCTAAACCATGGAACCTCAGACACCAAAAATAAGCCTTTGGAATGAGCCAAATATAAGCCACATTCCTTGTAGAATGAGCCTATAAACCCTAAACCCTAAACCCTATAGGGTTTAAGGTTTCAGGGTTTTAGGGTTTAGGGTTTGGGGTTTCGGGTTAGGGTTTAGTTAGGGTTTACGGTTTAGGGTTTCAGGGTTTAGATTCAAGAATCTGTAGGAAGCTTTGTAACTTTGCAAAGTGGTGGATGGGGCGCTTACAGTTGCTGGGCATGCAAGAACAATTTCGGATTTGAGCTAGCAGCTAGCATCTTTTGGCATATCTTGGGTTAAGTGCACCGGCTTCGAAGTTTGGGCATGCCAGAGAGCCTGACTAACTGCAAGAAGATCAGCCGCACTGGGCCAGGGCGCCATGCCATGAGCAAGGGAAGTTACCTCAATGTGCGTGGTTGACTCTTTCCCCCCTAAACTGCCAAGGTGTGCCAAGGTGTATGCTGCTTAGACAGAACAAGATCTTTTGATCCTTGGATACAGTTGTGGCTTGTGACCCCAGCACCTAAACAATCAAGGCTTTGGGGCGGATAATGACCCGACAAATTGCACTGTCAATTTAGTAGATCCACCAGGCTCCTTGTGCTGTGAGCCGTCAGCTGCAATGAAGGATCAATGAACATCAAACATGTAACCTGCAGGACAAAGATACGCCCATTAGAACCAGCACGGTATCCAGCATGTTGTCGCTCTGCACGAATTGATACGTGTCTGCACAAAAGAGCCACTTTTGGGCTTCGGCTATGAGTGCGCGAATACACGTTTACAAATACAGCTTGCCTTGTGATCAGGACTTTGGACGGCGCGTATTACGCGGCCTTGGAAATGTCTGGAAACTGGACTGCCAGCAAATGAGATGCACAACCGGGCACAGGCATTTATCTGCCAGACGTCAGCAGGGAATATTTCAAGGTTTGCTTATTGATATCGGGGTCGCATCGTTGTGACGAACGTCGTGCAGTGTCTTCTTATCATTTCTTGCATAGTTCGTAGGCATTTCCGACTTTTCATTTCACGGTTGGGATCTCTGTGCCACTATGCACCCTGTGCAACTCTAGGTGCTGGAGACACTATTATCGGGGTTGTTTCCACACGCCTCCTCTCCAGACTTCTCCGGCCACAATGTGCTCCACAATGAGAACGAAGACAAGTAGAGAGCGTAAAGCATCATACATCCACCAAAACCCTGGCACATAAGCGGGAAGCTCACCTGGTTCGTGCAACGAATATGAGACGAACCAAAAGGTCGAATGGGGATCTTCAACATCCAAAGACATTTGAAAGCTGCTGTGACAATGACAAACACTTCTTCCAGGTTGTACCACGCAAAACTTTCTGAATAAAGTTCCCATGTCGCGCGCTGGCAAATCATGCTGCCTCCTGCAGGACCTAAGACAAAAGCAGCCTGGTCTGCAACATTGGATAGAACAAACACCTGACCTGTCCTTAGTTGCAGGTCACACAAGCGATCGCGTCCCGGTTGGGGATAAGGAGATTTGCTGCGCAGAGTGTGTGTGTGTGTGTGTTGTGTGTGTGTGTGTGTGTGTGTTGTGTGTGTGTGTGAGTGGGCGGGCGCTCGCGTTCGCCGCTGTGCCACCGAATTGTCTTTCCCTAATCTTGCAATGTGTTGCCGTGGTTGTTGTGACACAATACGCACCTATACCAATCTGCGCAACTGAGGGGTTGTCCCACCATACCTCTCCTGACTCCGGTCAGCCAGAATAGCCGGCGTGTTTGCATCCACGATTCCGGCCGCAATACTCGCCCCAAGCAGTGTAGAGGCAAGCAAGATGTACTTGGAGTCAACAAAGAGGAAAGAACTGGCCCCACCTAAGAACATCGCCAGAATCTGCAGTGTTGGGCCTTCCAAAAGGGAACGAAGTCCTGGAACAAGGTAGACAAACAGGATCGCCGGAACTGAACTTAGCAGCCATGTCAGGTTCTGCTTCATCTGGTCATATCCCAAGCGGACCATGTACTCAAAAGCCGTGGACCCCAGGGCAGCAACGAAGGCCAAAGCCAGGAATAAGGCAATGATTGGACGGCGTACATCTGGGTCCATGGCCAAGCGAACCATGCCAACCTTCAGTCGCAATGTCGCAACTATGCATGAGTGCATGAAGAAATATGAAGGCATTGAACTGGGAATGCGTTCCATGGGGAGAAATTGTGGCAGTGTGAGAAAACAGGTGACATACAACTCGCAGGAAACTTCAACCAGCTCTGATGGTGGCGCCTATGTGTCTGATCAGCTTTGCAGGATATTGGGGTGCAGGGGGGCTGAAGGAACCTAGTGAGCTGTCCCTACACTAAGGTCGCCCATGCACATACCCATATTGTTTTCGACGTCCGAAAAGGTTGCTCGCAGGTGCTACTTAGCTACTTCAGGTTTGAAAGGCAACAGCGGCAAGAGCATCATAAATTACAGACAACGTCGCGATCCGCTCAGTCTGAAGCGTGTGCATTCCCTTCGAAACCGAGCCTAACTGGATGCGGACGAAGTGCTGCATCTTCCGACTGTTTCTGCATCTGCGTTTGCCGCTTCGAAAGGTCTGGCAATCTAAAACGCAGTGTGATGAAGGTACACAACTGCGCCGCCGACAGCAGGATAAAGAGACCCCGCGGATCATCAACGAACAAGCCTCCGGCCTTCAGGGATTCCCAAGAGTTTGCCCATTGGGCAATAACAGTGCTTAACATAGCTCCTAGTTGTCTTAAGAACTCGATCCGCTCCTTGGGAAGTCTTCGTGAAATGGTTCTACTCACGGAAGCAGAACGCAGGACATCACAGAACTGCAATGGTTGACATGCACCGAACCCTAATCCAAGAGAACTCCTGAGGCTCGTGGGGCAGGGCTTCTCTTAAAGCGACAGAAAGCTGCGGAGCCTGTGGGCCCAAGATCACCTGAGCTGCGGTTAACTTAGGGTTAGCTGCTGGGTTTCAGCTCAAAAATGGTGCCCGAAGGACGAACGGGACAAGATCGTTGTGAATGTTGGGAAACTTCCTGACAGCTATTACCATTGCATGTCCTAGAGTAAGTTGCCCGGTATGCCCGATGCAGCAGTCTGAAGCGTGAGAAGGAACTGCGCAACATAAGGTGATGATGAAGCCCTGTGTTTGCCTACACATAGACCAGTCGCCCCGACATAGAGGCCAGCGGTTGCCATTGACATCGCCTTCGTGCGGGCAGCCGCCTTCGGATGAAGCAGGGATTATGTAGAGAATTGAACGGCCCGAATTCGACCCAGCCCTGGTTCAACTAGATTCTCGACTCTCGACCCTAAGCCCTAAGCCCCAGAGAATTCTGGAAGGTCTCACTAGAAGCCCAGTACTGTCGTTGGCAGCATAGCTTTTCTGCGCATGCTTGGGGATGTGCACGTACCAGGCGTCTATGGCTGGTGCATAATGTTGAGCACATCCTCACACAAGAATGTGCAGACTTTTGAAAGAAAGCAAAGGGATGTGCAATATAGTATCGCATAATTCGTCTACCCATATTCTAATTACAGTGCACTCTTAGTAAAAGTCTGCGAGATCCATCATCACACGAAATCTAAGTCCCAAGCAGGACCTTGCATGCTCACTCCCGAATCAAATCTCACACGGTTCTCAAGCATCAGTTTTCTACACAAGCGTACTACAGCATATTACAACCAGTCATTCCAGACTTGTGCCTCATCTGCGTGTGCTTGGTTGCAAAGCGCGAAGCCTCCCCAAACGACAGCGGCCTTCGCAGGGAGAGGTTAAGGTACTAAGGTCAGTCGATAGCACTGCACATTGCACCTTTGTATATTGTACCTAGTTTGTCAAACTGCGTGGCATGCTCTGCGTGATAATTACTGACCCTCACGCGGATCACGTGGCTCATTTGACTGGTCAAAATTAAAAGGTGCCGATGAATGGCAGCATTGTACTGTGAAGAGATCAAGAATTGGCCAGGGCCGTTGCTTACCGTTGCTTGCTACAGCAAATGGTGCTCTCTCCCAGTCTGCAAAGTGTGCCCAGAACAGCCCCGCCCGCCCCGCCCGCCCCCCCCCCCCCCGCGGCCCCGCACGGCCCCGGCAGGATCTAGATCAGCCAAGCCGCTGTTGAACATCCGCTTATACAGCGTACGGCCAGCCAAAACCAATAGTTTGTTACCTTGGCTAAACTTGTGTGACAGTAAATGCCGTCGTACACAAGAACCTTGTTGTACAAGGTCCTTGCCAGGACTTTCCTCTGCCCAGATCTGTTCAGATGTTGCGCCAAATGCAGTGGCTTGAAATTTTGCAAACAGCAACTTCGAGAAATGTTCCCTTAGAGAGGTGTCCCTCAAAGCATTTGGTACAGAGTCGTCCCAGCCCTGATTGGATCCAGTTGCCACAGCTAGGCTCAAAGAGCAGAGCATGGCGCAAAGCATCCCATATTGCATGGACTTCCTGAGCGCTTGAAAAGGCGAGGTACTGCAGGCTCCTGATTTACAGTGCTATGTTACCAGTTGGGTACAACATTTACCCAGAGTTCGACCCACCCAGTAGCAGCATCCTGCAACATCCTGCAAGAGTAAGGCCAAGCTTCGCCTCATTTCCGTCGATGAAGCGACCAGCGAAGGGCGCGATAAGGCAAGTGACAATGTTCTTGGAACTTGTGAGCAGTGCAATGAGTTGGTAGCTTGACGTAAGTGTCGGGGCCAATGGTGTAAGGATGGTCGTCATAAACAAGTCCAAGAAAATTGACACACTCACCAGGGTGTCTGTGCCGGCAAAGTTGAGAACAAGAAGGAAGCAGGCCAGGACCATGCTTCCACCTATCAAGCGCAGACTTTGTGGTGACTGCAGCATGTGGGGCAGGTTTGCACCAGATAAATCGACGTGCACCTGCAAGAAGTCTACAGCCGTCATGGTTGTCAGGCCATCTCTCGCGTCAGATTGGCAGTCAAGTGACTCCACACTGGCAACAACATCCGCTACACCACCGCCACCGTTGCAGTGTACAGCTTCGGCTGGGACTGCCAAGACAAGCCGTCCCCACAGCAAAGCCATCAGCATGGCCAACATCTTAGCCAAAAAATGCTAAGAAATGCTAAGGCCTCGCTAAAGCCTCCAAAGGCATTCCATCATTGAGCCTTGGAGCCTCCAGGTCCAACAGCGTCGAAGGGAGCATGCTGGAGCTTTCATAAGACTTCTGGGGCGTACTCTGCGTCACGAGCTCAGAGTCACTGAGGCGACTTGTGCGCCACAAAGGTGAGAGCTTGTTTCTTTCTTTACCCTAAAGCCAATCCCGCAGTTTCTGCGTACCCAAGCGTTCAAAAGCTCACTGAAAAAGCCTGGAGCCTAAATCGCATAATAGGTGAGCTGTGCACCTACGGCTGCCAGCCCAAGCCAGAATCAGGAGAGGGCTCTCAAGCTACGAAACTCGGCGCATCTACTCGTCCGGGAGGCAGACCACATCTGGCTTCATGTTGGGAAGCATGACCTTGGTTTTTCTAGGAATAATTTGTAGCCGGAAATATTAGAGGTAGTACTACGAAGACAACGCCGACCCCGACCTGCCTGCCATTCACATTGATGCTGCTACTCCTTCTATTTGTATGGCGGTCTCTCGCTCCCCAAGCCGACAACAATCCAAGAGTTGCCCAGGGGCCTGGTAAGCGACTATGTCATACAAGCTCGAGTTCTTTTTCAGAGCTGCATGCACGGCCAAGATCTCCTCCTTGCAAGGGAAAGTGGGATCATAGCGCATCTGAAGCCGACTTGCGGGTGGATATCCCTGTTCTATAAACGAGACATTCTCTAAGCAGGAAGTGCCAGAAGCCCTGGACATCCCGAGAAGGTTCCATTCGCAGGATGCGTAATAATGCCGCGATATGCTTTCGACTCGACTCCTTGTCTTGCTGGACTTGCGACAACGGCCGTTCCGGCGCATCGATATAAAAGTCCTGCCGCACCATGGAAGGCGGTCGTGAAACCCTAACTTTAGCGCATCGAGACAGGCACTGGAGAGGTCTCTGCCTCGGTTGCAGCAACTTTGGGGCCACGCAGGAGTAAGCTGATGCGCACGTGTGGTATCAGAGACACAAACTTGGGCTTGCGTCGCTCATGAAGCTGTGGCTTCAGGATATAACACACTCCCGAGGTTCTTCTGCTTGCAAAGACTTAGGGCCACCAGAATGGTGAAGTCTCACTCGCAGAATGCTATAAACTGATTTTAGTGACCCATTAAAAACCAATCCAATCCTCTGCATCCACAAATGGCCCCAGCACCCCGATCTCCGCGGCTTTCAGGCAGGCTTCTATCGCTGGCTCCTCCCCCAGCTCCGCCTCGAAAGGTCTTGCAGTCTGTTTCGTCGGAGTAGTTAGCGGGCATTCACTGAGAAACTCATAAAAACGTAATAGTTTAGGGCATGCTTGGGGGGCGTGGGCCGCCAAGGGAAAACGTGTTAGCCGATCCAACTTTCAAGCCTAGCTCGCTGCGGAGACCAATGGAACCCTGGAACCCTCTATGTACAGCTTGACTTACTAGAATTTCTTAAATCCCCGTACAAAAACCCTTTAAGGGATTATTGTAGGGCATATAGTTCCCACATTCTCTACTAAGAACCAGTACGTGACTCTGCAGCATGTCAAGTGCAACATGACCTGGCGCTCAGACAAGATGTAAACCTGGACTATCGCATGATTTCCGCTTGGGACACTGCCAGAGTACACACTCCTTTGCAACTGCCAAGAAAATGACAGTATTCGAACATGAGAGAGGATTGAAGAACATTCGCAGTCCCACCATACTTCAAATATGCTTAGTGCGTTAAAATGTGAGTTAAGCTATAGCACCCTATGCAGTGTCCACGACCCAGAAACAACTAATTCGCAAGAGCCCCGATCTCTCGAGGATCGAGGGTCGACAAATGTCTACAACTTATCATAACCCACACAAAATCCACACTGCCTCACACATCGCACACTTGCCTTGCTATGAGTCGTCAGTGACGTCAGCGTCTGCTGCAGGCTAGCCAGGATGTCTGAATACTTGGGGTCCTTGGTATGGAATTTCACGAGCAAGCTCGTTTCGACCCTCCCAAACAGGCGTCCAGTTCTCCCCGATCACACTGGACTCTGGAATCATTTTGAATTTGCCAAGCTATTTGTCTAAACAGTTTAGGTAAATTCATTCAAAACGTCTGCGTAAAATATTCAATCTACTTAAACCTCTGGGGTGCCCCGCCCCTCCCCCCCACACCCCATGAAGACCTTTTGGGACAAAAGGCTCCAGAAGTCACCAGAAAGCCCCAGGAAATCCCAGGAGGTTTTAAAAGGTTTCAGGAGGCCTCAAATGGCCGAGGCCCTAAAGTCGGCCCCCCCCCCGTCCCAGCCCCTAAATCAAACCATTTAAGGCCCGAATTAAGCACTTAAATTTCTGTTCAGGCCGCAAATAAGGCCAAATTAGGCTCAAATGTTCAGGCCCTAGGCGTGCCCAGGCCCCCAAATTAGCCCCGCCATTAAGCGCCAAATTAAGCCCAGGGAGGCCCCAAATTAAGAGGCCCCAAATTTGGCTCCAAACTAAGCATCAGAGCCCCAAATTCAGCCCTAAAGCAGGCAGGCACGAACGAATCTAACCATGTTAGCGAATCCACGAGATCCGAAGCAGTGAGCACCACCATTCAACGAGAGCCAAGCATCTAACCTGCAGTAGCATTGTCATCAACAGCCTTGTCCTACCAGCTCCAGAGCAACGCAAACTAGTCCAACTGTGTGGCCGACTCACACAACACACACAGGCTTGAGCGCAGATTGTGACAAGTCCACTGCCTCCTTGATACAGTAGTTTCGGCTTTGGCATGTGTTTCTTGGTAGTTCTTCCTTCAAGTCGGCGCGAACCATACTTTCATACACAGAAAAAAGTCAACAAACAGATACACAGGTACATAAGAACAGACTATCACGTAAAGCATGTTGATTCGTACAAAGTCTCATGTCTGCAAACAATTATGAGATGTCTTGTAGTCATTGCAGAAACTCCGGCACGCAAATTGCAGCCGTGTACTATGAAGATGGAGCCAGGTATGAATACACAACTTTGCGCTGGGCCGGGCGGATTGCGTGCTGCTGCTACTGCTACTGCTCCTGCTCCTGCTGCTGCTATTGCTGCTACTACCACCACCACCAGTACCACTACTAGCACTGGACGGTGTTTTACACGGCAACAGTTGCTATGTTGGGTTTTTGGGGTTGGGGTTTCAGGCTCTGATTTGAAGAAACACATCTTTTGATATTTTTTGCGACTCATGGCGATTCACCGAGCCGCACACTTGTTTCTTCTTATTCCTGCTTAACCCTCTGAACACCGGGCTCGTGAAATTTCATAGTCCTTGGCAGCTCTTTAAGCCAGCTTAAGCCCTACAGAATGCAGCTCTGGCCCTTTTCGGAGCCTTAGCAGTTTGCATGATACTGGACATACTGGACGGTACAAGCGGGTAGGTTAACTCACATCTTCGCGTGTGAAGTCACATCTCCCCAGTGACATGCGGCTGCGAGCGAAGTCACATCACCCCGCGTAAAGTCGCATCACAGAGACATAGGTTGAAGCCTTTCCCCCAATGTGCACGCGCCGCACGCGCATGCTCTCGACACACATGCAAAATACGCACTTGTCACCGCACGCCTGGGAGGGGAGCATTTGTCAGCGTGAATGAGATTTCTGCTTGGGGGTGCAAGTGGGTTCTGACCAATCTTGGAACTCGCGAGTCCCCAGTGTGTTTCTATTTATTCATGAGGCCTGTAGCATGTTGCGCTCGGTGAGCGTCGCATCCCCAGTGTGCACGCGCCCGTGATGCGACTTTACACCAGAAGATACGACTTAACCTACCCGCTTGTAGTGGCAGTAGCTGCAGAGTCAGAGAATAGGCATGCGCAAGGTGGGCATGGAACCAGAAGCCGTCCTGGTAAGCTTGTCGTTACAATCAGGGCTTCTGATGAAGCCTTATCGCTTGTGGAGAACTCTTTCTTCCAAGCGAGTGCCTGCACCCTGCAGACATGTTGTGTGCCCGTGAACCCTCCACCACGCGCGCGCAAGGTACCCCCCCACGCCCAGTGTTGAAACCAACGTGGTCCAAGCATGTGCGGAGCACATCGTTCCATACAACCCTTCAGCCTCCTTTGCAAGGTAAGCCCGCTAACTACCACACCTAAAAGTTCCTACTTCTTGAACTTGAGGTTGTGTTTGCTAGCTATCTATGCATTTATTGTTCCAGTAGAATGCCTCGTTGAAATCTTCTGATGGATACATACCTAAAATCAGAATTATTGTGCAGATGGAAGCTCTCGTGCGAGATTGGCGAGCTCGCGGGGGTCAATTTCCACGTCATAGAGGCATCCGCTGCCACAGTCCTCTACAAAAGTTCTCCTGTTCCTTAGCTGTGAATTTGCAAAAAGGTGCGCGCTGAACGCGAGTAGACAGACGTACAAGGGGATGCTACAAGCTTGCTGGGGCTAGTTCGCCTTCGCTTATTATGCAGATCAGTGCAGGTAAATAGAGTTTTCGAGAAGTTTCACTTCTGGAAAATGTTACAACGTTCCAACTATTCATTGGGGCAAAGCGACAAGGGGAATGGGGGCGAACGTGAGCCGCCCGCGAGCCGCCATTCTGTCTCTTCACAAGCCGTACAAGCTAGGATCTTTCCAGAGAAAGTGCAACAATCGTTTCTTATGTGTCTAGGGTTTTGAAGCTCGTCATTGTCCAAGGGACATCTCCGACTTGTTGTAGAGAGGCTCGTCGTGCCCGAATGCATCCAGGTTAGGTTCCACAGGGTCAGTGGAACTGCAGTTGGGCCATACCTTAATGATAAAACCCCTCAGGCCCCTCAGGGGTCTTACGTGCTTCGAAGCCTTACAGCCGCATCCAGCATATGGCAGAGTGATTCACTATCCTTAGATGCCTGCAGCCTTCACTTGTACCCTTTTCACAGTTGTTCACTCTACCAGGAGAACCCTCGGACAAAAGTGTATACACGAGCTGTTAAGGTACAACAGTACAACAGAGCCCTAAACAGAGCCCTGAACCATCCTAACCCATAAGACAGAAACGCTCTAAGGCGAAATCACCCGGGAAGCTGGCCCAGGCCAGAAGCTGCCTCTGTGGGAGCCCGTCACGAGCTTGTAAGGCCACCTCGCACTATCTCGCACTGTGCTTCGTTCTTTTTGAAGTCTCTGTCGGGGTCAGTCCGGCTGAGTCTTCAGCTCTTCAGCTTCCTTCTGTGGATCTAGAGAGAATCGTCCCTGACATAAAACCGTCGCACCAGAAAAAGTTCCACTTGCAAGTGTCATCAGGGCAGTTGCATCCAATAAGTGGCAACAGCAAAGACAACTGAAATCTCTTCACAGAACGTGGGTTAGGGTTTAGGGCCCCATTCAACAGAATCGGCCTCAATACCGTCTTGTCGCTCAGGAGTAGTGGATCAGGTCGCGCGTTAGAACCGTTGAGCAGGTGCTTCCACTGTGGTCGGCCGTCAACAGGATGCATCCTCTAGATGGGAGTGACTATGAATTGTCTTTAGAAGTAGTGTAAAAGGGTGGTACTTTAGTCTAAGAGCTGAAGGGTGGAGAGCCCAATGCCTCCCAATACAGATTATTCATGAAACCATATTCGCAAACCTGAAGCGACCTCACCTGATAGAGATATTCCTACATGTGGGGGGGGGGGGGAGTCTCCTTCCCCCCTTGCCAACCCTTCCCAACCATTCCCCACACAGAAAAACCCCTTCAAAAAACACAAGACTGCGTTTTGTGCCTGAAACGGGGTGGTTTCTGCTTGGGGCCCTGAACCCCCCAAGCCCCGGAGCCCTTGAAACTGCCAGACTTGTCACGGCCCTTCGACCTCCAACCTAATTACAATCCAGCCTTTTCTGTGCTGCTAAGCTTCCCAGGAGCCTTCCCAGGACCCCCTTGAAGCCCTCCCAGGAGGCCTTGAACCCCCCCAGACTTGTCAACCTGCAATCAAACCATCTGTCTGCTGCCTTCTTCGCAGCTCCCACAGGCAAAACTAATGCTTCTTCCAAACAAAACGCACCCGAGTAGTCGCAAAAGAAAGAGTATCACCAACCCCATGATAAGCCAATGGGTGCCCGGGCCGCCAACCCTAAGGAGGCACAGAGCGTTCCGCAGTAAGCGAACCCACTCTCGACAACTCGCGCGAAAAGTTGAAATCCGGTTTTAAAAAAAACCACGGACCTTCATGCGAAGGGGAATCCTCCGTTTCCTTGTGCTTCTGGGTCAGAGTCGTCCAGAGCCCAATCTCCCCACCAATTCCGCCACCCACAACCCGGGCTTGAATTGTCCTCAGGGGGGGGAGGGGGGCTGTCCTGTTACGGAAGCCCTTGTTGCCCCACCACGAGGAACACGCGAATTTGCATGTTGCCCCTGGGCCATATAAACCAACTACGGCCTACTGCTTGAGCGTGCACAGCGAGTAGCGAACCTAAAGCCCTACGCCTTACGCGTTCAAGCCCTGAAACCCCTCCCCCCCCTGTGGACTGGAACTGGACTGGACCCCCGCCCTGAACCGCCCTGAACGCCCGTTTTGGACACCCCCTCAACCCCCCCAAGGACTCGCGTGAAATAGCGTCCAGATTGATTAATTGTTGATCCTTAAAAAGGCCGCTTTCCCACCCTCTCTTTCCTGCCTTCTTGGCAGCTCCCACCACCCTACTCAAGCTTCATTTGGCAACCAGCACAAGCACAATCAACAGCCGGTGGGTTTTGCACCACCTGCTGACACCGCAAGCATTCGCCTCTCGCCAGCGTCTTTTTCCGAACTGGAGCAAAGATAACTGGGTTCTTGTCACGGACAACCCCCTATGCTAAGTACCCTAGGCCCTAAACACCAAACCCTATATGGCCCTACTATATATGGCAATGGTATTTTGGAAATATTAGGGTACCTTAAAAGGGGTCCTTATTCTAAGGGGATCCAGCTAGTATGGGGTCTATATTTGGGTCCCTTGCTATCATAAACCACGTTTGAACAAGAACCCTGACTCATAAACGAGCGTCAAAGCTTGGCCTTTCTCACGCAAGTGCTTGTTGGCCTCCTTACACGAGACAGCCTAAGGTTTGAGGGCTTTTTGGGGTTCCGGGCTAAAGGTTTGGGTGTTAGATTTAGGATCTGACAATCCTGGGGTCCAGAGCTTTCTGTGGCACTGTGCCAGGGGGGGCTTAAGGAATTTATAGTTTGACTCAGTCTGACCATTGAGTGTTGGTTGTAGGACCTTGCCTGAATCGGGCTAGATGTATGGTCTTTGGTTGAACTCGCCTACACTTACGGTGACTTACAATTTCTTACTGTTGGGCCTGAACTGTACCCAAGGCTCGGCGGAAGCCAGGTCCTCGAAATCCACACCTGCTACTTCGCAAAGCGTTGCGTACCAGTCTGCGAGGTGGAACACGCCATGGAACCTTAGATGGTGTAACGTTTTGTAATACATCGCAGGAAGTAAAGCCTACTATGGGTAAAGAACAGTAGCAAAAAGTCATGTTGCCCAGAATCACCTGAGAAGCTGACTTCCTCGACTTCGGGGAGGGACAGCCCCGCCGAACACAAAGGCGTTTGTTCGCAGGCCACCCTCGCTGGAGAACCCCTCTTTAAGGGAAGAGTAGGGCCGACGGGCCGACGGGCCGACCAGCCCTCTCTTAAAGCTCTGCTAGTGACTTTGTGTCCCATATTGTCCCATATTGCCATATCAGGGCTTTTAAGGGGTCTCTGAAGTGGGCTGAAACTCTTTTTGTATCTTCACACGAAGAGCTTTCGCAACATCAGGTTCCCCTCATTCCTCGACCCTTCCCTAGCCGTCCAAACGCAAGAGGATCAGATGAGGATTCCTGGGATTCCCTTCTGGAGAACGGGGAGAAGTGGAATTAAAGTAGAGTTCCTTTCGGGGCTGACGTAGTATGCTCACACCATGCAGCACAAAGTGGATCAGTTACCGGCACTGCTCGTGCAGCAGTCACGACGCTCTATAGAGCCACATTCTGCTCTCAATTCGCAGGGAGCAGGGATGCAGCAAAGTAGTACAGTCCTACAGCCTTAGTACTACACACAAACTTGGTCCTTCGACTCGGAAACGAATAAAAGGTCCTCCAAAAACCCAAAGAAAAAACAATGGGCATCTTCGGACTTCCGGTCCTCCCAGTCAGCGTACTTCCCACCCTTGTGCGGATAGTTATGGCTGCTCTGGCGCAGGTTGGCAGGAGCGCCGTTGTCAGAGAGAAAGACCACCAGGGTCTCTTCATACATGCCTTGCTCCTGCAATGTTGCAAAGAGTCTTGGAATGTGCTATAATGTGTTGGAGCTTCTATTGAAGATTTGTCTACTGGACTGTGGCAGCTGTAGCATACTGTTGCCGCAGTCCCGCTCCTTTAAGGCATGGACGAGCTCCCCGACAACAGTATCCAGGTAGAGCAGGCCTGCAGAAAGGAGGCAGCTCACGGCTCCCAAATCAAGACACATAACCCAAATCCCCGCCCCCTTTTCTCAGCCTGCCGCATGGATCTTGCGCTTCGTCGTCCATGACACGACTCGAGGCACACCCGTCGCAGCAACAAGCTCATCGAGCCTTGGATTCAAGCTGAAACCTAGGCCCGTCGGTTCCCGTCGGGACCCTGGGAAAGGGACGGCATCTCGAGCTATCTTCGACGGGAATGTTATTCAGTTGAAGACATCCTTGGCTACATCCCTTAGCCGCAGCCTGAAGCAAAATGTCATTTCCCAGTGAGACCAAAGAACTTCTTCAAGAAGGACCGCGGCACGCTCATAGGGTTATGAGGCAAATGATCCGCAAATGTCAGGAAGAGCGGCTTGGAGTTTTTCTTGTGATTCTGTATAAGCTTCTTAGCGTGCTGAAGAAACATGGCCTCTTCATAGCAACTATCTGGAAGGCAGTTGCTGAGATTGTCCATGTCACAGCCAAGAGGAGCGAAGGGTTTTGACTCCTCGATCTCCACTGCAGCCTTGCAGCCGAGCTCGGCAGAGATCGCAGCACTAACTCTTCCGCGGTAAGTGCTGTTGTAATATGAAAAGTCGCCGAACTTGTTGAGGCAGATGTCCAATAGGTACCTCAGAGGTCCTCTGTCTTTGGACCAGTAATCATTTTCAGCTTGAAAGAAGCCCAGGAAGGAGTCGAACCCACGTCCAAGAGGAGTGTGTTCTGGGGTAGCCCAGCCAGCATCCCACTTGCCGATGTAATGCGTTTCGTAGCCTCAGTGGCCAAAACTATGGTCTATTGCACCTTGCTATGCTATACCTGTATGAAAGAGCAACCTTTCGGGTCTATTTAACCTCTCTTCTTTTCTATTTAACTGATAATTATTTAAATAATTTAAATTATTTAAATAATTTAAATAAAAACTACAACCCATTTAATTATTTAAATAAGTCGGGTGATTTAAATAATTTAAATGATTTAATTGAGACCAATTAAATTATTTAAATTATTTAAATAGTTGAAAGAGGCCCGGCGATTTAAATAATTTTAATAGTTTAATTCAGGCGAATTAAATTATTTAAATTGTTTAAATTGATTAAGGAGGCCGGGGGATTTAAATAATTTAAATAATTTAATTCCGCGCAATTAAATTATTTAAATTATTTAAATTATTTAAATTATTTAAATTATTTAAAGAGGCCGGAGGATTTAAAGAATTTAAATAATTTAATTCGGCCCAATTAAATTATTTAAATTATTTAAATTATTTAAATTATTTAAATTATTTAAATTATTTAAATTATTTAAATTATTTAAATTATTTAAATTATTTAAATTATTTAAATTATTTAAATTATTTTAATGCTCCCAAATCCAGGCTGCGGGCCGGAGCCGCCTGAGGCCGAATTTCCGACCATTTAAATTATTTAAATAATTTAAATAATTTAAATAATTTAATTCCGGCCAATTAAGTTATTTAAATTATTTCAATTATTTAAGGAGGCAGGGGGATTTAAATAATTTAAATAATTTAATTCAGGCCAATTAAATTATTTAAATTATTTAAATTATTTAAATTATTTAAATAGGCCGGGGGATTTACATAATTTAAACAATTGAATTCAGCCCAATTAAATTATTTAAATTATTTAAATTATTTAAATTATTTAAATTATTTAAATTATTTAAATTATTTAAATTATTTAAATGCTCCCAAATCCAGGCTCCGGGCCGGAGTCGCCTGAGGCCGAATTTCCGACAATTTAAATAATTTAAATAATTTAAATAATTTAAATAATTTAATTCAGGCCAATTAAATTGTTTAATTATTAATTTTATTTAAATTATTTAAAGAGGCCGGGGGATTTAAATAATTTAAATAATTTAATTCGGCCCAATTATATTATTTAAATTATTTAAATTATTTAAGTTATTTAAATTATTTAAATGCTCCCAAATCCAGGCTCCGGGCCGGAGTCGCCTGAGGCCGAATTTCCGACCATTTAAATTATTTAAATAATTTAAATAATTTAAATAATTTAAATAATTTAAATAATTTAAATAATTTCATTCAGGCCAATTAAATTATTTAAATTATTTAAATTATTTAAATAGGCCGGGGGATATAAATAATTTAAATAATTTAATTCGGCCCAATTAAATTATTTAAATTATTTAAATTATTTAAATTATTTAAATTATTTAAATTTTTTAAATGCTCCCAAATCCAGGCTCCGGGCCGGAGTCGCCTGAGGCCGAATTTCCGACCATTTAAATTATTTAAATAATTTAAATAATTTAAATAATTTAATTCAGGCCAATTAACTTATTTAAATTATTTAATTTATTTAAATTATTTAAAGAGGCCGGGGGATTTAAATAATTTAAATAATTTAATTCGGCCCAATTAAATTATTTAAATTATTTAAATTATTTAAATTATTTAAATTATTTAAATGCTCCCAAATCCAGGCTCCGGGCCGGAGTCGCCTGAGGCCGAGTTTCCGACCATTTAAACTATTTAAATAATTTAAATAATTTAAATAATTTAAATAATTTAAATAATTTAATTCAGGCCAATTAAATTATTTAAATTATTTAAATTATTTAAATAGGCCGGGGGATTTACATAATTTAAATAATTTAATTTCGGCCCAATTAAATTATTTAAATTATTTAAATTATTTAAATTATTTAAATTATTTAAATTATTTAAATTATTTAAATTATTTAAATTATTTAAATTATTTAAATTATTTAAATTATTTAAATGCTCCCGAATCCAGGCATCGGGCCGGAGTCGCCTGAGGCCGAATTTCCGACCATTTAAATTATTTAAATAATTTAAATAATTTAAATAATTTAAATAATTTAATTCAGGCCAATTAAATTATTGAAATTATTTAAAGAGGCCGGGGGATTTAGATAATTTAAATAATTTAACTCGGCCCAATTAAATTATTTAAATTATTTAAATTATTTAAATTATTTAAATTATTTAAATTATTTAAAGAGGCCGGGGGATTTAAATAATTTAAATAATTTAATTCGGCCCAATTAAATTATTTAAATTATTTAAATTATTTAAATTATTTAAATTATTTAAATTATTTAAATTATTTAAATTATTTAAATGCTTCCAAATCCAAGCTCTGAGCCCGCAGACTCGCGGCTCGATTTGGCCAAATTTTGCCCGCAGACTGCCCGGTAAAATTTGGCCAAATCGAGCGGCGCCTTTCTGAAGGCCCGAAACTATATAAACTCTCGCGGCTCGATTTGGCCAAATTTTGCCCGGCAGCCTCCGGGCAAAATTTGGCCAAATCGAGCCGCGCCTTTCTGAAGGCCCGAAACTATATAAACTCTCGCGGCTCGATTTGGCCAAATTTTTCCCGGCAGCCTCCGGGCAAAATTTAGCCAAGTCGGGCTGCTCTTTGTACACGATAAGGAATGCGCGGCTCGATTTGGCCAAATTTTGCCCGGAGGCAATTTTATTGCGCGTATTTAAATTATTTAAATTGTTTAAATGCTCCCAAGTCCAGGCTCTGGGCCGGAGTCGCCTGAGGCCGAATTTCCGACCATGTAACTTGTTTAAATTTAAATAAATTATTTAAATTATTTAAAGAGGCCGGGGGATTTAAATAATTTAATTCAATTCTGTACAATTAATTCAATTAATTTATTCTTTTTGTCACCTTTAATCATCTTCTAATCGGGTCATCGTTTGGATCTTATTTGGAAAGCATCCTTTGTCATAATCATATTCTATCGTTATCACCTTTTTGTTACCTTTTTGTTGTAATCTTTTATCATTTTTGTCATATTTTCATCATCTTTTATCATCTTTTAATCGGGTCATCGTTTGGATCTTATTTGGAAAGCATCCTTTATCCTAATCATATTCTATCGTTATCACATTTTTGTTATCTTTTTGTTGTAATCTTTTATCATTTTGTCATATTTTTATCATCTTTTATCATCTTTTAATCGGGTCATCGTTTGGATCTTGTTTGGAAAGCATCCTTTATCCTAATCATATTCTATCGTTATCACCTTTTGTTATCTTTTTGTTATAATCTTTTATCATCTTTTTTGTCATCTTTTTATCATCTTTTATCATCTTTTAATCGGGTCATCGTTTGGACTTTGTTTTTGAAAGCATTTTATCTTAATCATCTTCTATCGTTATCATCTTTTATCATCTTTTATCATCTTTTATCATCTTTTATCATCTTTTATCATCTTTTTGTCATCTTTTATCATCTTTTATCATCTTTCTGTCATCTTTTTGTAGTCGTTTATCATCTTTTTGTCATCTTTATTATATGTTTCCGTCTTATATCATTATGATTATGGGGTGAGCAAGGAGTCAAATCGCAAGCCCTGGTCCCTAAGATTTTCGGTTCAGCTTTTATGCCAAAGAGTTAAATCGCAAACCCAAACCAATTAAATCATTTAAATCCTACGGTCTAATTAAATTATTTAATTGAGGCGTCGGATTTAAATAATTTGATTGGCTCTGTGCTTGTCTGTACTCACCTCCCACCACAATTAAATTAATTTATACGATTTAAACGATTTAAACGATTTAACTGGGTCCAATTAAATCGTTTAAATCCTACGGTCTAATTAAATTATTTAATTGAGGCGTCGGATTTAAACGATTTAATTGGACCCAATTAAATCGTTTAAATCGTTTAAATTAATTTAATTGTGGGGAAACTCAGCCAAGCCATAAACTAAATTATTTAGGTAGGGCTGGAGGGGCTGGAGGAACTGGAGGAACCTGGAGGCTGAAGGGATGGGCTGGAGCTGGAGGGGGCTGGAGGGGGCTGGAGGGGGCTGGAGGGGCTGGCTGGCTGGAGGGGCTGCTGCAAGGGCTGGAGGGGTTGGAGAGGCTAGAGGGGCTGGAGGAACTGGAAGAACTGGAGTGGCTGGAGGAACCTGGAGGCTGAAGGGGCGCCTGGAGGGGCTGGCTGGAGGGGCGGGCTGGAGGGGCTGGCTGGAGGGCTCTGCAGGGGCTGGAGGGGTTGGAGGGGCTTGGAGGGGCTGGAGGGGAGGGGCTGGAGGGCTTGTGCTTTAACCCCTCCTCTCCCCTCCCCTACCCCTCCCCAATTTTCCACCTCACTTCGCAGAGCGCCACCCCACGCACCGCGTCGCACCTGCAACCTGCTCCCCGACCCCATCACCCCCAACAAGCCCCCTTGCAACAATTTACTACACCCACACCACTCGCACCTAACCCCTCCTGCCCCTCCACTCCAAACTACCAACCTGAAGTTATCATAATTATGATGACTTCAACTTCCCCATCATAAGTTATCATAATTATGATAACTTTAGCTTCCCGATCTAAATTATCATAATTATGATAACTTCAAGTTCTTTATCTCAGAGTATGATAAATATGATAAGCAACTTTTCATAATTATGATAAGTTATTATAATTATGATAAGTTATCATAAGTTATCATACTTATGATAAGGTATCATAATTATGATAAATTGTCATAGTTATCATAAGCTATCCTCCTCGCCCTTTCCCGTTAAAAGTGCTTACAGCTTAAAGACCTTAGTACAAAAAACTGTACTAAAGCGCAAAGAAAACAATGCTTATGATGCAGAGACTTTGGTACACTATGATGCGTCAAGACACAATGAAATTATGCTTGCGATCTAGACACTGCGCCCTTTGAGATAGTTGAGAAGAAAAAAATGGCCGCGTGCCAATATTGATTGCTTGTAACGGAGTGATTCCAAGTCTTGCTTATCGGGGG